CAGGGATTTTGCCTGGTTTATGCCACGAGGACCCTGTGGAATATCACTTTACACTCCACCTGTATGTGACAATTGTATGATAGCTCCAAGTCCATTTACTTACAGATATAGCATAAAACAAGATTAATAAAAATGGCATTTTTAAAAAAACATCTCTAGCTCAGCAAAGTAGTTTATTCACAGAGGGGGACTCTTCATTATAGCTGGGTAATTTAAATTTCTGTTTCCATAATGACAAGCACCAGATAGGGAAAGTCTCAGAATGCTTTCACCAAGCTGCAGCCACATGCTGACTTGTAAAACAACATTTCAAGAAGTAGAGAAGGGGGAAAAAGGAGGAAGAAGTGGTTGAAATCTAGGATTCAGTGGTACAGGCCTTTTCAGCTTCTGTCAGATTTGATAAGCTCTAGCATTTTATGTTGTGTGGAGGTGTGCATATGTTTTAATATATTTTATGTCTCAGCTTCTGTCTGTCATGGTGGTGGGGATTGGATTTATCAGAGGCTGGTACACTTGCCTAATTAGTCCTGTATGTACATCTGGTTTCTGAGTGACTTTGGTTAATCTGCTCCAGGTGCCACTGTGCATTGTGTGGATTAGGGAATCCAATGGCCTTTTCTGTGATGGTCTTGCCTTCAGTAATGTGGTGAAGCTTGTGTATGAGGTTTGCATATGCCAAGAGCTTTCAAAATGCTTTGGTCCTAACAGGAAAGTCCGGAGGAGGAGTTGTATTTGGGTGAGGTAGTAAGGTAAGGGAGATCATATCAGAATATTGTAGGTTTAAAGCTGAAAAGGTACTTTAGGATTTGCTCCACGTCCTCATAGGACAAATAAGTAAACTGAACCTCAGAGCAGTGATGTGGATGACCCTAAAGAGCAGAGAAAAATGATTCAAACTCAGCATTTCTGCTTTGAGGGTCAATTGTCCCACTGGGTTCATTTTTAGATGTGTTTAGTTAGCGGCATTGGTACCTTCTTACTTTCTTATACATTGTTATGTATTCCAAACACCTGCTGTCTGCATAGAAGTGATGTTCCATTGTTTTCTTTCATCTCAAACAGTATGCGTTGTTCTCACAAGGCATGGTTGAGTGGTTTCTGTGGTAAGGCTTGTTCCCTATGCTTTGGCATATTCAAGACTGTCTTGAGTAAGATATAAGGTCTGTACCTAGCATATAGGTTATAGAGCCAAGGGCCAAAGGTGGAAGCACACTCTTGAATGGAAATAATGTGAAACTGGATCAAAACAAATCCGTAGAGGGTTAGCTAAAGGTCAGATCCAGAACCAATCTTCAGAGATTTAGTTTAAGGTCAGAAACAGGGAAATAGGTCAATAAGTCTTAACCCCAGTCCCACCCCTATGGATTGATAGTGTAGTTTGCTGAACTCATTTCATGGGTGTATGTCTGCTTTTATGTTTTATTAGACAGAAGTAGACCTATAATCAAATTTTCTCTGAATTTGCCTCAGCTATTGATATTGTCCTTATGTCATAGGAAAGCTCACTCCTAAGTATGGCAAAGTGATATTCTGTTTGCAGTGTTGGAGATAGGACTTGTTTTTCTTTATCTGATTTTTAATGATATTGTGATTTTGTCATTTCCTTAATACTAATAATTAATATAAACCTGTATTTTGGACCATTATATAGTGTTTTAAGACCCACTGTAGCTGAAAGTACTTTCTTTTGATTCTGACCTTCCCAAACAGACTTTTCAGCCTTCCTGCTCATTCAGAGTTTGAATTTAAGGCTTTGCTTTCCTTTCTCCAACAGAATTTGTTACTGTATGTTCCTGCAGTGCTTTGCATCCCAATTCAAAGCCTCTAGCTCAAGGAGATTGTGAGGCACAGGCAAAACAAGCAATTAAACTTGTGTGGGAGTTTGCTCAGTAACATGGACTTGGAGGGGCAACATAATGCACCAAATTCAGGAGATGAGGATGAGATGTGGAAGGTTAAATTCAGCTCTGTAACCCTGTTCTGCTTCTGCTGAGTATTGTTTTCTTTCAGGCAAGGCTAGCCATAACTTTTAGGTGAGATAACAAAGTGTACGTGGTATAGTATAGTGTAGGCTTCTTGCTGGAAAAATACTTTTCCCATCAGCTCAGTTTGCTGAAGGGTGAAAACCCATGGCAAGAGTCATTGTTTTATTTGAAGGTTTTGCCCCCAGCTAAAATACCAATATTCTGATCAGATATTTTCACCTGAGTATGAATGAGAACCTTCATAAAAACCTACAGTGCTGGTAAGTTTTTATAAGCACATATCTTGTAGGAAGGCATGAGATTAGTGGCTGGCAAAGGGGAAAAGTATAAATAGTTTAGCTCTACTGTGACAGGAGAAAAGGTCCAGAAGAGCAAGGAAAGAGGTGTCTGAAACTAAGTTGCTTTCTCTACAGACTTGTCTGGGGTTGTGGGGTTATTCTGATGTAATGTCTCCTTCTACTGATTTGAATCAGTCGCTGGTGTGTAACAGATGGTCTTAGAGAAAGGACTTGTAAACTGGGGTCCATGAACTTAAAAAGTATGTATAACTTCCAAATTTATTTAATATAATTTATTTCTTTTGGAATCACAGATTCTTTTTAAAAATTTTCTTCAGTTAAAAAAATACTGTTCTGAGAAGGAACCGGTAGGTTCCTCCAGATTGCCAAAGTGTTCCATCACTGCCCGGCTCTCTTCTCCTCCCACCCTGGTTGTGAATACACAATTAAGACCCCCTCTTGAGAATTGTCTGTAATCTATACCTAGGTAAATTTACATAAGGTATGATGAGAGTCATTTTGAGAAAGGGCTTTTGGGCTTGCTTTGATGTCAAGAATACCTAGCTTTAAGTATAGCCTCTGATAAAGATATGATGGGCAAGTCTCAACTTCCCAGTGTCTCCAAACAGTACTCCAAAGATTATAAAATGTAGAGATGTTCCTAATCTTTATCAATGGAGGGACTTTGAAATCTCAGTTTTGAACAAGAATAAAAATTTAAAAAGTAACTACATAGTAGTAGACATAATAGAGATTGGTCTCCTCATTATTTATTTGTGGTCTTTGGTTGGTTTTCCTTGCACAGTAGGGCAGAGCAATGATAATTCTTCAAAGGTATCCTCATGCTTCCAATTGACTTCCACCTATCCAATTTAGATGCCTTTTTGTAAAATATTGGTAGTTTCACTGATGAGATTTTGAATCATATCATACTGCTTTTTACATTTGCTAAAAGTTTTGTTATTGTTTGGTTTATTGCTTTTATCTCATCTATCAATGTTTAAAGGATATAGTCACCATTCTATTGCTTTATGTCTTTACTATGAGAACTGAGCTTCCATTATCTGTGAGTTGGGTATAGCATTCTTTGTTCAGATGGTTCACTGTCCAGTGCTCTTCTCTTCCTTGTAGGAATATCAGCATGAGCACAGTATTTAGTAGGTTTTTGTCTTCCCTACCTTGATGGTGACAGTAAATTCAAAGTCCACTTAGAGCTGAGAAGGGAGAGTGTGTATGTGTATGTGTGAGAGAGAGAGAGTGTTGACAGCTGGAGAGAGGAAATTGACAGTCCTTTAAAGGTGGCATATAGTACTTTTAGAGCATAATATATTTTTTGAATGAGTAGTAATTAATTTTCTTATTGGTCACTACAGTATAGGACAGAATAATAAATGAGTAAGCCAGAATTTTAGCTAGAAACCTTTAAAAAGACCTTGAAGGGGTACAGGAACCTCTAAATCTAGCTTGGAGAGTTCTTATTGTAATTTAAGAAGCCATATGGATTTTTTTTTTGTCCTTGAAAACTCTTTGAATGGCAACTTTATATGGTAGGTATATTTAACTTTGCCTTACTCAGCTCTTTAGTTGAAACTATAGATTGTTTTAGTTCTGAATTAAAAATCTGAACTCCCATTGTACTCAGTGCCTCTATGATGGACGTGGCATTAGAAGATATCATTTAAACATAATAATGTATCTGAGTTCACTGCAGCTAACTAGGTGGCATTACTTTTTTGTATCTATATTTGGAAATATGTATACATATGCATGAATGCACACATATAAACACATATATATCCCAGGATATATTACAAAATATATTATGACATTTGGCAATAAGAAGATGTTTCGATGTGCATGAAATTGACAAAACCATAAGGACTTCATTTAGAGCAGTTATGCCCAAAGACATGAAAAATATACAGGCTTAAATATTAATTCAGTTTTTTTAGACAGAAAAAAGAATGAAGTAAAAGATTTTCATCACAAGTTTAAATGGGAGGGTAGTCTGATATTTCACTGAATTCGGCTGTTTACTGGGGAATCTTGGGAAAATCTCCATCACTTAGTACCTTAGTTCTTTTATTCATGTGTAATGAATTTTCCAAAAAATATTTATAAAAGCCTTTGAAGTTTCTGTTGAAAGTTTCTTTGCTATTTTTGAGTGAGTTTTACCATCCTCAAATAATTTTTCTAAATATTATCGTTGTTGTTGCCAATTATTATTTTTTTTTAAGCAATTGGGGTTAAGTGACTTGCCCAGGGTCATACAGCTAGTGTCAAGTGTTTAGTCTGAGGCTGGATTTGAACTCAGGTCCTCCTGACTTCAGGGTCGGTTCTCTATTCACTGCACCACCTAGCTGCCTCTGTATCTCACTCTTTATGATCACATTTGACATTTCCTTGGCAAATATACCAAGCGGTTTTACATTTTCTTCTCTAAATCGAAATATTAATTCCACATTATTAATATTAAGCCGTAATCATCTGTGTTACTGCTTCAGCCATTTGTAAAGACTATTGTTATAGCCTATACCTTTGGGAATAAATTGTCATTATCATAACAAATCATAGTCGGTTGTAAGAGCACTGAAAACAGTGATGTTGCTGCTGAACAGTGCTAGCATTGTAAGGTAAAACAGTGTTATCATTGTCTTGTTCTTATTACACTTTACCTTGTTAATGAAGATGAAGCATCACCAACCCTATTTCTTTCTCCATCATTTCTAATGTTTAGGGATGTGAACTTGTCTCAACTCCTGATCAAGACTACACTGATTTTACTAAGTGCCTTAAAGTGCTCCAGGAGAAGATAATGGAAAAGAAGCTCCAGGTAAGCTAAGTTTGTTAAGCCTGTACTACTAGTGTTTACTCTTTTGTTCTCTAGGATGTACAAGGGGCTATTTCATTGAAATGAAATAGTCATTTACTAGTGTGTGTTTTGGCCATAGTTCATTAAGAAGCATTCGTGCTTACCTTTACCTCAGATGAAAATTTCCCAGGACACCTAGACAAATGAATTTACATCAGCTTTTTTTCTTGTCTTGTTTTTGTTTTTGTTTTTTTTTTTGGCTAGGAGAATTTTTAATGATCTACACTAATGAATTGCATAGATGCCATTGAGTGATTTGGCTTTGGCATCCTTACTGGGATATATATGTATTTTTAACACTTATATCTGTTAAACCAAAATGCTTATCGTATCCGTTGATATTTTTCAGTCGTTCAAATGGCATACAAATGGATTTGAGGTGAATAATGAAGTCATCTGTTAGAGAAAAAAAGCAAATGTACTTGAAGTAAGAAATTCCTAAGAAAAGTAGAACAGGAATCCTATTTTTAAAAATTCCCAAGATAGAAACTCATTTTGCATTGACTGTTATATTCTGTTGACTCATTTGAAGTTGTGTATTGTACCCTCATGCTCTCATACTTCGCTAAGAAAGTATGCATACTCAATAGCAATGGTTGACTCTTCCTATTTCTTCTATTTGATCTCTTTGGTGAATTTAGACTTCTCTGCTAATTTGAGTTAATCAGCTATTTCTCTTGTTCACAGGTAATAAATGAATTAAAAATGACTTGTTAGACACTTGTTACCAGAGTGTTTCAGTAGTCCTGTAAGAATAGTTGAATGTTATACTTTTCAAACGCTCAGAAAGGAGACATTTTAGAGGAAATCTGCATCCATATTGGACCTGGATTAAAACTGGTAAACAAGAATCTATTTGAATTGAAATAGATATTGGGTAATATAGAAATATAATTTACAGATGAAAGATCAAGAGCTGTTCTAACTGTATAGTGAGAACATTTGGCTTTTCTTTATATAGGCTTTCTTCCAGAGAAATCCTGTTTGCCTAATTCTCAAACTGTTAGAGTGGCATATTCCTTTAGGACCAATTCAAAAATGACCTAGAAGTTAGGCATGTATTTGACTGACTCGTTCATTGTTCTCTTAGGTCAGTTTTTTTTTTCCCCTCCTTGTGTCTAGTTTTAAAAAACAGAAATATGTTCAGATAACATGAGTGCAGACCAATAAAATCAAGGGAAATATTGAAGTTCAATTCTATTACTTCTGTAACTGCTTGCTACAAAAAAAAAGTTGTGGAGGCAATATTGCTCCACAAATCTGTTCAGACACTTTACCTTGGTGAGAAGAAGGTGTAGTACACAAGCACAAAGAGTGTAAGCTGAGTGACCAATTATATTCTCATGTCTGCTTTTGTCCCTCAATCTGATTAAATACCAACTTTTGTACTGGTGAATGGTGGTATTTAGTTGTCAGAAAGTTTCATAGTCAGTTTGACTATTAATCATTAAATAACAATAAATCTCTGGCACATTACAATTATTACAAAGGATAACGAGTAGGTGTTATTATAATGAATATTTTATTAACACAACTATAGACTAACTGTAAATCCAGTTAGTGGGGATTGTTTTGGGTCAAGGCATAAGTTTAAGGACCACTTCCTTCATCTTGTCTTGGAGCTAGGTTTAGAAGGGTAAGTATTGAGTAAAGAAACCAAGACTAAGAATAAGTGTTCATGCAGTGGTAGGAATACGTAGTGTATGTTCACATGATGAAGAATATTCATGAAGAATGGCAAAAGTATAAGAGGCATTTAAAAGAATAATAGGAAATAAAGCTGGAAAGATAATTCAGACCATCTTGTGAGGCCATGCTAAAAGAGTTATATTTTATTTAGTGTGCAGTGGGATTGGGGGCTGAAGGTTATTGATGATCTGTGGAGTGAGGTTAGAAGTATTCAGGAATTGTCTCCCAGAGGAGACATACTAGAATCTGAGACAAAAATTAGGCTGTTATAGTAATGTATGCAGGAAGTTCTTACAAGTGCCTGATTCACAGGGACTGTAGTAGGGAATGTTTGGTTTTGTTTTTTTAATAAGGATATTTTGGAATTATAATGAATTTGATTTGACATGTCATTAGATATGGGAAGTAGGGGAGAAGGAAAAGTGAAAGATTACTAAATTTTTGACCCTTGATGTTTACTTTTAATAAAAATCAGGAAGTTAAAATCAGGGCACCTATTAGATAAAATGAGACAAATTCATATTTCGTTATGTTGAATTTAAGTTGCCCGTAGGTCACGTAGAGCTCAGGAGAGAAGTTAAAAGTTAAAAAAGATAAAGATTGTAGATTCATCATTGTGTGGCTATAAGTTGAAAAAGATATAAGGAAATCTTGAGAGGAGGAGAAAAGGGAATAAATATTTGTGTGCTGGGGCAGCTAGGTGGCGCAGTGGATAGAGCACCAGCCCTGAAGTCAGGAGGACCTGAGTTCAAATCTAGCCTCAGACCAAACACTTGACACTTACTGACTGTGTGACCCTGGACAAGTCACTTAGCCCCAATTGCCTAAATATATATTTGTGTGCTAAGCAGTCTGCTAAAGGCTTTACAAATACGGTCTCAGTTGATCCTCACAACAGCCCTTTGAATTAGGTGCTGTTATTTTCCTCATTTTACAGCTGAGGAAACAGAGGCAAACATAAGACAAATAACTTGTCTGAGATCATACAACTAGCTAATGTCTGTGGCAGTTTTTGAACCTAGGTCTTCCTAACCCCAGGCACCACCTCACTGTCCCTGCCAGCATTTAGACCAAGGATTCTTTAACTGGGGTCCATGGACTGTCAAGGGGCCATTGAGAGATTTCGAGGGGTTTTTGAACTTGGATGAGAAAAAAAATACACAACTCTTTTCCTTGACCTCTAACTTAAATATGTGGTCCATAGCCTTAGTGAAAGGAGTCCATAACCCTTCCCCCCAAGTTGAGAAAACCTGATTAAGTCCTACCTTCTCATTTTACAAATGAAGACAATGAAACTGATAGAAATGAAATGTCTTTCCTAATATCGTCCATGTGTAATGTTACATACATGGAAGTATATACAATTGCTTAGAATGAGTATTTAGGGAACCAAGGACAGATCATTGGGGAATGCCAAACTTTAGAGTGTGGAAAGAGAAAGAGTGGCTAGCAGGGAAGTTAGGGATTGGGTGATAAAATTAGTGACATATTCTCATTTGTATTATGGTTATTTCCACATACTTCACATTTCTCCCTATTGTGTTATACTCTTTTTGCAACCAGAGACCACAGTATATTTTTAATTTGTTCTAAATGTTTTATCCTCAGGTTGGCACAGTACCTTCCTCTTGAGATACCTATTATTTTTACTTGTTTAACGAATTATATGAAAATATAGAACAGGAAATCCAAGCCAACAAACATTTTTTAAGCACCTACAATGGGCTAGACTAGATATCAGGTATTTAAATGAATAGACATTTATTATTGGTCAGGTATTGTATTAAGCACTGGAGGTACAAAGAAAGGCAGTAACGATTGTTGACATCAAGAAGCCCGTATGCTAATGGGAGAACCAGATGTCAACAAGTATATGCAAGTATATATGGGATTAATCTAGGGTATCTCAGAGGGGCATTAGTAGTGGAGGAGAGAAAGAAAGGCCTCTTGCAGAATGTGGGATCTGAACTGAGTGTTGAAGGAAACCAGGAAAGCCAAGAGACAGAGGCAAGGAGGGAGAGCCTGGAGAGCCTTTCAAATGAGTATAGTCCCTGTTCTCAAGGAACTTACTTTCTACTGGGGTTGGGAGGAAATACAACATTTGCACAATTAACCATAAACATAATTCAAAGAAAGAAAAAAGCACCATCAACTCAGGAGATGAGAAAAGTTTCTCTGCAAGAGATGACACATGAGGTGAACCATGAAGGAAGTACAATGCAGTAGGAGGTGCATTCTAGCCTTGTGGGGTATCTTTTTAAAGCACAGGGGAGCACTAAATTGTCTGGTGTAGCTAGAGAGCAGAGTTCATGAAGTGAAGTGATGGGTATTAAAATTTGTTAAGGGAAAGATAGGCTATATCTAGACAATGAGGGCCTTTAAATTCAAACTGAGAAGTTTATTTTTTGTCTAAAAGCAATGGAAAACCCTTGAAGGATCTTGCCCAGATGAATGGTATGGACAGATTAGTGCTTTGGAGATTAATTCAACCTCCACACAGTCATAAAAATATTATTTCCATATTGAAGGAAGAATTTGGAAGCTTGGTTTCTAGTTAGGAAGGCCTTTTAATAGTTTGACTAAGAGCTGATGTAGACTTTGAGAGAAATGATAATTCATAACCAGTTATAGAGGACGTGCAGCCCTTTTCCCTGTCCTATTTCCTCTTTGAAGCCCATCCTTTGAAGGATATTAATGACCTCTACCAAAAATTTACCCCATCTAAGAGATGGTCATCTTTTACCTAGGTGAATTCCTGCCCATTTATTTCTACTTAGGTTTGGGTGGGGATAAATTCTTTGATTAAATTGCTCAAGGCTGGGGGTGGTTTGGAAATAAATGACACAATCAAAGTCAGTTCCCTAGATCCTCATTAGCATAGGTCCACTTCTCATTATAATATTCATTATTTCATCAATTGTTAACCAGTCTGAGTGGATTGCCACCCTCAAGAACAACCACTAGTCCAAGGACATGTAAGCGTTGAGCAGGTTCCATGAGAGGTCTTTGGCATTCAAGAGTCTCACTGATCCCTTTTGTTAATATTGCTATCATAATTAATAAAATAAATAATTACTCAGAATTTTGCCTCTTAAAATTTTTAAACATCACAGCTTCAACTAGTGGGGCAACAATGTGAATGGAAAGAATGGGATAAAATGAAAGTTTACAAGCTTTGAATTATAATAGATTTTTCTGTATTCTAACTGTTGGTATGTGTATCGAAAGGGCAATATTTGGAGCCAATCTGGAGGTAAGAGCTACATAGTTCT